AGAGCGTTCATCTTTGTGTGCTGGCAGAGTTCTCAGCAAGATTGCTGCCTTTAGTCCCCTTAAATGCTGTCCTCACATTTGGATACAGCAGTATTTCCTCCCTCTTGGGTTTTCATTGTGTGATATTAAGAATAATTTACAGCCTGCTTACAAAGGGGCTGCAGCGTAATGATGGGGACCTGTCCTCTGAAAGGTTGCTTAGGCTGTGAAATCTTTGCATTAAAACTCGGAGCAACAAGATACTTGTGTGTGGGTTTTTTTTTGTTTTTTTTTTAAAAACGGTAAGTTAAAACCTTTCTTCCTCTAGCATTTCCAGTGTTGTCTTTTCCACAGCTCTTGTTCCAAAGAGCTCATTTTCTGTGTTTGTGCCTGGCATGCTGTGTTTTTTTGAGAATAACAAGTAGCATTAACAAAGTGGGTAGACCATGTACGCGGCGCACAAAGTGCTTTGCAGCCTTGTGGGTTGAAAGGTGTGCGATAGATGAGAGCTTTGAACAGAAATATGTGTGCATCTGGTTGTTAACGTCTAATTGGTATTATTGCTTATGTGTGTTTGAAGTATCTCCTATATAATCCTTGCTTTTTTTAAAAAAAAACAAAACAACAATGCATTCTGGGTGTTTCTAGGTGTTTGTCTAAGCTAACCCCATAACTTGCCCAAATTACAAGTTTAAATAGACTTTAATTTGGAAAAAAGCGTGTGAGAGAGAGAGTAAAAAAGCGCTATTTGATCCCCCTGATGTTGATTACTTAAAACCTGATGTCATTCTCCATTATGATGTGTGATGACCTCACAGGATCCATTCTCGCCTCGCTCTTACCTAGCAGTGTTGCTGGTGCTCTAGGTTGAAATGCAGGAGCGTGTGAACGGTGAGTTTGGTTTGAGCTAGAGGTGCCGTGTTTGGGATTACACTGACGGAAGGGAACAATCTCTGTTGTGGAGGTTGGTGTAAACTGACACTGAAATAAGTGTTATCTGTTTATCATGATGCTATTTATAAAGTGGCACCTTAAGGGCTCTTTGGGACATTGTTTTCTTGATGTTGTGCTAACAACGCGGTGCTGATGCTCTTCCGTTCAGAGTGTCATAGCTTTAGACAGTACAGGGCTGCATGCTACATGTGACATGCCATTTTTCATTTCTGCCATGTCATTTAAATCCTTCTGGTGGATCTTTTGACATTTATTCAGGTTCTTGGACAAGTTTTGATTTAAGTAAAAAAAAAAAAATCTGTTGAGAGCTAGAAACCACAGGAGTCATCTGTCATCCAACAGCCCGTATCAGAGTTCAGTACCAGTAAGATGAAACAGCCATCAGGTTTTAATTTCTGCGCAAGGATATGGTATGGTGGATGGCATAGCTTCAGCTGTATACTTTAGTGCCGTTTGTCCGTGTACTGCCACTCTGGCTGTTAACAAGCCGCATGACTGTAGGACTTCCAAGATGCTTTAGTTGAGTTTGCCTTGAAGATACTTACTTCACATAAGTGTTTGATATATTTATTAAATGTTTCATCCAGTCTTTAAGAGACATCCTTTTGTTGTTGCTTGGTGTTATCTGTAAATTAAATACTGATTAATGAACATACTTAAAACAAGCATAGTACCTTTTGCCTTTCTCTTCCTTGTCGCATAGCAACAGAATTTCTCCCCGTGCAATCCCTGTTACTTCAGGAGGACTGTATTCACAATGTCCTCTCTAATTCTTCTAGCTTTTCCTTTCTAGAAGCCTTGCTAAAATATTTGAGTAACTTCATCAACCCCTTGACAGACGTAATAAAGCAGAATAGGATAACATCAAATAATCATTCATTTTGGCAGTGTAAACTTTGCGGAATTCATCAGAAGTCTGTTAAGCTTGATAGTGTTTATAATGAAAATTTCTCTCCTGTGAAGAATATAGTGAAGAAAAACAGCTGGGTTAGAAATTTAGGGCTTTTAGCGCCTTCAAACTCATTCAGGGGAGTTGTAGTGATACAATACCTTCTCATTTATGGATATCTTAGTTGCACCAGACTTACTCTGTTTCCTAACTAATATGTAATTTGTACCATGATCTCGGTTTCTGAATCAATCAAGTGCGCAGCTGTTGCGTTTATGTATAGGGACCCCCCTTTAGCAAACGGAAATACCCACTGCTTCCCCCCAAAACCTGACTGTTGCTGGTTTCCTTGTTTATTCCTTGGTTGCTCAAAGTGGTGGGAGTTCTGTGAAGGCAAAGGAGTTAATATGCTGCTTCTGCATGGCACTAAGTGTTGGTTTTAATAATTTAAATCTTGGATTATGCCTTTTTAAATCTATTCCAGTGCGAGAAACCAGTCTTCTGGAAGTGAAAGATGATGTGGAACTGGATCCAGAGGAGAACAGCACTGTCTTCATGGGCATACTCATCAAAGGGCTGGCCAAGCTGAAAAAAATCCCTGAAACAGTGAAAGCCATCCAGGATCGCTTAGAACAAGAGCTCAAGCAGATTGTTAAGCGGTCCACAACGCAAGTGGCGGACAATGGTTACCAGAGAGGGGAGAATCTGTCCCAGGAGAATCAGCCTAGGGAAGGATTTTTCAACTGCTGAACTTTTTTTACTGCACAAGCCTGGAGAAGGGTGTCATATCTGTTCATGTCAATTTGAAGGAATGACAATAATGTTTTTGCAGTAGGAGGGATCCGAAATGGTAACATTTTCAGAAACGCCTGTGTCTCACTGAAAGACTGATGTGCCTTGAACACCTGAAAGGCTTGGGAATTTGAGAAATGTATTCAGAAAGGAGAGGCATTGTTGCTTCTCAGCTAAAGATGTGGGAAACGGAGATGCTTCAGTGTCTGGCCCTAGAAGAGAATCTTTTGGCTAAACAGATGTTTGAAAAGCAGATTTGAGGGTTGGAAGCACAGTAGAAGCCAGCATTATTTAACTAGCAAGAGGTACATAATGTTAAGCACTTGATTTTTATTTTATTTTTTTTAATCTAACCTTTCGTTTTAAGCAGCTTTACAACAGATTGAATTGTAATGCTGTCTCAGATTGCTAGTATGTATGGTGTAAAGAATACTCGGTGCCAAAACAAGTACTATCTTCTTGTATTGCACTGAATCATGGCTTTATACTGGTGCTGATGCCAAAGAAATTTTATGTAATATGACTTGAAAAGAGAAGATTCAGCTCAGTTATTTATTTCAAGTGTAGCAGAGTCCAATTAAGCCGATGCAGGTGCAAAGGTTTGAAATCATATATGGAGCTAATTATATCAGTAAATATATGGCCAAGTTTCTAATTGGTTTACAGCCCCATTTACATTAATATCAAGGTGTGGAAGCCAACCGAGAACTATGTTTCTGCTGTTCTTCGGGATTCACTAGACCTGTTCTTTGGAAAATAGAACTCTGTAAGGGCTGGCTACCACATCTAGCTGAAATATTAATTTGTGATACTGCATATTTTAAAGATCTCTGTCCAAAGGGAATTAATAGTGGAAAAGAATGAAAACAAAAATGTGTGTCTTCATTATATGTAATATTTGTAGTGGAAAATCACTCCCAAGAAAAACGTCAGCTTGATAAAGACTTCTTTTTTAATTCCTATCATTATCACTGCTGTGGAAACGATTCTATTTTGAAGAATTCATAGAGTTATCATATTGATAACTCGGTGAAATTGCAGCAAGCTTTTTCGGTGGGTCGGAAGGCAGAATTTTAGTTTCTGATGCCAAGATGGAGCATAGCATATGCTTGGTGCTTGTTTTATGAATCAATCTTGAGAGGTTGTATGGCTCCTGGTTGTCCATTGAAAGTGATAAATTGGATCAGATCATATTTTAATGACATTAACCTGCCCAGAGGGTTGGGTTAAGGTACAGACAAGTGTAGTGGGTTTTGGCATGTGTTTAGTAGGTGTTTGTGAACCTTTAAGATGCTTATATTTTAGAGCTGTGGAAAGTGTCGTGAATTCTTGTTGAAGGAGATAATTAGAACTGATTCTACACCTAAATCGCATGTGAAGTTTACAACAAGCAGGTGAATTCATTTATATTGAAAAGAATAAATTACACTATGGAAAGGTATACCGCCCTGTAAATTAGCTACAGTTTTAAATCAAAACTAAGTGACTTTCCTGCTGTCAAGGAAAAAAATAAATCTGAACAACATGGTCCTCCTATTTCAAGAGAGCTCTGTAAGACCCCAAATTTGAGCACGGTGCAGCACCCGAAGCTGCTTAACTATTCATTAGGCTGTCAGCCACAATGCTTACTTGACCTCAGGATTCAGTGAGCAAAATGTTTTTCAGTTCACCTTAAAACTAGTCACACTTGGATGCCTCTTCGTCTCTATCACTGAGCTCAATGCCTGTATTCAGATACTGTACTTTAAAAGGTATCTATAAAAACTCTAACTTCTGGCAAATAAAATGACTAATAAGACGACAGGGTCTGAGGCTGTAGATTGAACCTTCTGCTGGACAAGTTCCGCACGGCTCGTTTGGTATGCGCAGAACGAGTTATATGCATTTCTTCATCCCTGTGTGGTGTGGTGGCTCTCAAAGGTTGGCTCTTATTTTTTTCCATATGAAAAGGATGGCATTTCCTTCCAGTTGAGGATGAGGCTGATAATCTGCTCATGGAGGTTCTGGTGCAATTTCTTTTGGGACCCCATATAACAATTATGTAGAGCCCTTTGTCATTGTACGAGAGAGAAATAATTTCTAGAACCTGGCCAGGAAAGTTGCAGGCCTGATAACGGTCATTTGACTCTCAACAGATCAGGCACTGATCTTGCATTTGTCTTTTTTTTGTTGTTGGTTTTTTTTTTTTTTTCAGTTTGACTCCCTTTTGCCTCCTTACCTGGTAAGCTTTTCCATATTGTGTGGCCACCTTTTACATTTGTGTATAAAAACACTATTAATTGCTCCCAAAATTTTTTTTTGTTATGACTCTAAAGCAATTAGCTCCCAGAGAGTAATGATGTCTTTTATGCCCCTCTGGGTGCTCTCTTCATAGAGCCAACAGGCAGCGGGCTCTTGGGTCAGCTCTTCAGAGCTTCATGAAGTCTATTCCTGTAAGCATGCCAGGAGCAAGTCTTGTCCATGCTATACAAGGTGCTTTATTTTGGGCTTGTTAATTAGCACATACATGAGAGTGAGCAGTGATTACTGTGGTGATAATGTGTGGCCCATTCTGTCATGGGTGTATTGTCCTTTGATTTGAGCACTCGGGTCTAGCTGGATAGAGAGTTGGTGTGAAATTGGAGGGGCTCATTTGCTGAAGATGACACTAGCCTGGCTAAGGACCTCCACATAACGGCAGAAGGATATTTTTCACTAGTGGGGTCACAAAGAAAAGACTTGCGTGGCTTTGTAATACAACTGAGTTTTAGGTTTCCTAAAACATGCAACGTGGATGCAGTCATGTAGGATAATGAACTTCAAATAGGCCTAACTAGACAGAACGTCTTTGCCTGTCAGATGCTTTGCTATGAAAATAAACCCTCTTTACTAATGTGCCCTTATCCTCATGAAATGTGAATGATAGGAAGATAGTAAAACCTGGTGAGGGACAGTAGTAGGTTCCTAGTAGTTCCCTGTCACTGGTGGAAGATAATTTTGAAAACTATGCTTTAATCTCACCTGGTTGCAGCTGACCTTGGCTTTAATTTAAGTGGCCTTTTCTTTAAAGTCTAAGTAAGTTCTCTAAAATTTTTAGATGTCTGTGTTTGGAACAAGTTTATGAAAAAGGGCTTAAATGTGCAAACTGCCATTGACTTATCCTTAATGAGAGGCTCATTAGAGCATGCTTAGTACTTGCATGTTTAGAAATATGTATCTTGGGGTGTGGAGGACAAGGTATTGTAGAAGAGGCCATGTTGCGTTAGCTTGGGGTACTGCTTTATCTTAATGAACCTGTGGGTCTCTTCTGAATTATGGAAGGTTGTTGAATTTAGAATAATAATAATGTGGACATATGCCTATTTGAGGGCCAGATTTATGGGACAGGATTTTGGTGGGGATATACTGCCTTATCTTTTAGTTGAAAATCCGGCCCAGGAAGAGGAGGTATATTGACAATTTTGCTACTAAATCCTATTGATTGAATGCAATGCCCTTTCCCCTACATGTTCACAATACACTTCTGGCTTTTTACCTCATCTTGAGGCTTTAAAATAAATACAGAAATTATATACACGCCAACACTCTGACCAGGCAAGGGACATTACTGCTGCTGAAATGCATGAATTGTCATTAGTGACCTTATTCAGGTGTCAGCAGTCACTCTGCATCAATTCATTCTCCGTTATTGCCCGGACAATAGGAGTTGCTTCCGGGTGTGTGTCACTGTCTCTCCACATATTTACCATATTTCTCTGTGAAGGGGTTATGAGATTGCTTTGACAAATTGCCTAAGCCAGTCTCCTGTCATTCTCTGTATGTGTTCTGCTTAGGTCACTTGGTGCTGCAACCCCATATGCATAAAATCTAGGCCATATTATTTTATGCTGTTTTGTCTTGTCGGCTGTCTGACACGGACTGTGTCTGTGTCTCTTTTGGGTCACCTTGTTTCAAAAATGACCTGACAGCTTTAGAAGACTTTTAGAGAACAGAAAATTAAGATAAGAGGTGCTGGCTAATTTGAAAACAGGGAGATGTGGAAATATGACATTAGCTGAGAATGGAAAATGTAATGGGGTGGTAGTTAGCACCACCGAAGAACGTGGATTGGGTGTGATTTCATGTCTATCAGTCTGTAACATGAGAATAGGAAGACATTGGAATTTAAAACCAAATAATTCTGTTCAGTATAATATTATTTTAGTAATGGCTCTATAAACAAGTTGATAATGTGAGGTCACGCTCACGTAGGGACAATAAAAATTAATTTGTCAAACTTTCCAGCTGGTTTGGTTCTGCAAAATTGTACTTTCCTGGGGCAGCAAGGAGGTATAGAGATAACTAAATTTTCATTTGTAATGGGATGTTAGTAGAAGTTGAGCTTGCACTGATAAATTTTCTCAGTGGTATATAATTAATTTGCTGCCATAATGTTATCTTTTTTGGCATTTCAGCCAAGGCTGTATGTAAGTTCCTCCACCGTGAAGTTCCTTGTCTATCCAAATTCTCCCCCATCTGGTTTTCCTCCTGTTTTTGTCTGGCTTCTGGCTGACCAGCCACTCGCCCCAGTTGCCTCTCTGTCACTTGCTACGAGAAGTTCTCCATACCTCTTAGGGGCTGTTGAAGCAATAGTTGCCTCTCTCATGTCTTGGAGTGGGTTGGAGATGATGTTTAACAGCGATGGAGGGTGTTTTTCAGGCAGCCTTATCTGCATATTGTCCTGTCTCCTTCACCGATGACATTGGTGATGGGCTAACGGTAGTTAGGGAAGGAGGAAGATGTATAGGTCTTTCCAGAGTAGCAGCTGCTCAGTTTCGCTTGGACAGTATAGTTATTAAGCTTTGTACAAAGCCTAAATGGAGGAGAATGGCTTTTCTTCCACACTGGACTTTCCCATATTGAAAATGTAATACTGTTAATATTGATAACAGCTGTCTTGTCTGGTGCTGTCTTTACCCTCATGTCCTGCATACTTCTGTTTATCCCCTGCCAGTGTCTTACTTAAATTTGTAAAGACCTGTAAAAAAAGCAGTGTTTTCTCTCTTAGTACCAATGACACTTTTCTTTAGGCATTTGTTGCTGCTATTAACTATGAAGAAAATGGATATACATACCAGTTTCTTTTGTTTTGCTTACATAGGTGTCTTAGTTCTACAGTCACTTAAGGTATGGCAATATTAATGGCCCTGTGTTTCTTAGAGTACCATGATTCCTAAACATATCTTTATTTTGAATATGACTTACATCTGGCCACTTGACCTGTTCTGCTATGTCTCACTGTACCCTCCAAGACGTATCCTATAGCTCTTTCTGTTGCATCAAGGTGCTCTTCTGCTTAACCATTTGAGCTGTGTAGTTGTAGAATCATAGAATCGTTTAGTTTGGAAAAGACCTTTTAAGATCATCCAGTCCAACCATTAAGCTAACATTACCAAGGTTGACATCATTGGTATGTGAATGGCTCACATGAGATCCCCAAGAGATTGCTGTATCATGTTGTGTGTATATATTTATACGTAAAGTTGTAGTATACAAATGAGACACAGTAAGCTGATAGTAATTTTTTTTTTTTCAACAATAGCCACCTTCTGTCCTTTGCAGACTAGAAGTTCAGTCTAGGATTGCTGTAGGCTAAGGTAGATGGTTTTAGCCACAACATCATGCGAGGCCACTGTTAGTGTCTGGTGGAAACAGCCGCAGATGTGCAACAGCTTCTCAATTACTCCAGTTAACTATCTAGCTGCTGGCTTAAACAGCTGACGAAAGTGGATGGATGGAGATATTCGGCACTCTGAAATGAAGTGGCTGAGGCATGAACGCATGCCTTATTGGTGATTAACTAACACAGAAGACTGAAGTGTGCTGGTTAAGGAGTGGGTGCAGCTCTGATTCTGCTGCAGATCTTCTGTCCTGCTCTGGGGATAGCAACTTCTGATGGGTAGACACAGAAAGCATGTGCTAACTCCTAAGCTGCTGCAGTTAAATGTGATGGAGACTGTCAGAGCTAGAAAGTGCCTAACATATGGATTTGGGAAGTGTTATCTTCACATTTTGCTGGGGTTACGTGTGTACTTGAATTGCTCAGTAAGCGGCAGTGAACTTGATCAGAATTTTTCTTTTCCCAAATAATAAAAGATGTGATGAGTCATTGCCTTATCACAAAATATTTAGGACTTTGCAAAGGTATGCTAATTACAATAATTTGGCAGTAGGGAAGCCATAGGAGCAGGTAAAGTGTAGGACATTTAGATGAGGTTATAGCTGTAGCACCTTCCATGTAGTAGTAGAATCTTGATAACTGACACAGTTGTTGAGGCTTGATGTTTTAGCTTTCTGATCTTTCGTGTTTAAAACCTTCCATACTACTCATTTCATAATTAAAAATAAGTATCTTGTATTCTGTTTGTATGGGTAAGTCAATTTATTTGAATTTATACTCTTTCTTCTGGAGAAAAAGCAGGTAGTCTCCCTCCCTGTCTGCAGCTCTGTCTGGGAACTTAAAATGTTCTGTAATATCATGGTACTGAACTGTAGTTACTGTGTAATTACTAATGCATCTGTCTTTCCTGTGGCCCAAGTAGAACACATTAAAGGCGAACAACTCTGGTATAGAGGAGACAGCGAAAAGGAAGATCCTCAGAAGTATTTAGGTACCAAACCAGAGCTGCTAACAGCTGAAGTTAGTCACCCGAAGCCCAGAGAGGGTTTGAAGCTAGGTGACCTCCCTGCTGTCATGCAGCATATGCCACAAAACAGGGTATATGAAGTCACAGTCTTCTAACTTCTGGCCAGCTGCTCTGATGTGCTGCTTGATAGCATGCCTATGGTGTCTTCTGGAAACTGAGTGGAGTTTGTCTTGATGGTTTACAGGTTACTGCTGGAGCTGCTCGAGCTGCTCTTCGACAAATTCAACGCTGTGGCTGCTGCGCACTCTGTGGTCCTTGGACACCTTCAGCAAACGGTGGCCTCTCCTTGCAGCCAGTATGATGGTGATATCAAGCTCTATGACATGGTTGATGTGTGGGTGAAGATCCAAGATGTCTTGCAGGTAAGAATCCTTCAGGTAGGCACATATTCAGCTTGAAACAGCTTTTATAACCAGAATACCAGAGAATACTTGTCATACTCAAGGGACAGCTATGCTGGAATTTGTCTTGATTTTTGGTAAGTGGTCACAAATATAACAGACTGTTAAACTCCAAAGAGCCTAAATATCGGCAAAAAATTTCTGTGGATTCATCCTTATGGTGGATGGAAAGGTTGATTCCTTTTGCCTACCAAGTGATTTATCAGAAGCTTTCAAACAGTGACATTTTTGTTCTGTGTTACCATGTCATGCCTGTCTTATAAAGTGTCACAGTTCTAATCGCTTGTCTTCTCTTGTCATTATGGCTTGGTTATAGTCAGCTGACACACTTGCTGCCAGCATGTTTTCAGGGAATTCTTACTTGATTCTTATTCTTAACTGTAATGTTCTAAAGCTGTACCTTGCTTAGGCTATATTCTGGTACCATGCCTATCACCTTAGTATCTGAGACTCAAAAGCAGCAGAGCTATCATCTGTCACATGTCTGCTGTCTCATTCTTGCTGTGAGGCTAACACATGCATGTCAGAGGTTTTTATTTATTTATTTTGGAATTGCCTTTCTATATAGTACACAGACGTACATCTCACCCAGTATTTGATAGAGGAGGTCAAAGAAATGAGCCCGGCATTATTTACAAGAGGTGGCAAGATTTATGATGGTCATTCCACCCCTGGCCTGTTCATGAAAAATGCTCTCTGCCTCCTACTCTAACACAGTTTTTCATTGTAGGGCACAGGTCTATTTAGCTATTGCTCTAAAGGTTTCTTTGACTGTGCAGTGATGCACATGGTTTTTTTGCTTACACAAGTATAGCTGACTGTGTGCATGGTGTGAATTTAGATACTTCTTGGATGTGCTAAATGTAAGGTATGGGCCTTTGATCATGTCCACTGTCTCCTTACCCACTTATTTGTCTTTCTAGAAGAGTTAGTATTTTTATTCAAGAAATATTGATCAGTTTTCTTCATAATACAAATTTTCACCTCCTTTCAATAGTGTTCTTGCAAAAATTTGGTTGGGAATGTCCAGTCGGAGGTTAATGATGGGTTTTCTAAACAAAAGAATGTTATAGAATTGAAGCTGTCTGGCCCTGATAAAGGGAAGAATTAAGCTTTAGGACACGAGGAGCGGGCTTGGCATGGGGTACCTCCAGCCATCTTACTGTCATCCATGAGGTCTAGAAAAACTTTAAGAGCTTTGAGTTCTGTGGACTTTGCTCCAGGAGGACAAAGCCTTGGGAGTAAGAATCCTCCAAGATTTTATCTTCAGTGAAACAGAATGACAAGGCTGGTAATTCCCTCTTATCAGCGAGAGTTTGTGATGGTTTCATTCCTCGTGAGCAGTGAAATTGGGAGTGAGCTATACTGGCTATTCCAAAACAACATTGATAAAATTTTATATAGAAGCATGCATAGGTATGCACATAGAGGGAGTGAACGTGCTTTCTGTGTGGGGGAGAAAATATTTGACTAAGCTTTCTATAAAATGCATGCCAAGAAAAATACAAGAACCCACTTGTAAAGGTTTCGTTCCTATTGGCCTGACAGCACGATGTCAGAGGGAGTCAGAAAAGCTTCCAAAAGAGCTTTTTCAATGCATAAAAGCAGCACCTTAAGATCCATAACCTCTTGCTGGTTTAGGGTAAGGGATGAGCAGTGACTGACATGGGAAGGAGGAAATTCTCTATTTTTTTGTTCAAAATCTTGTGGGGTTTTTGTAAATTAGTTTCACTGGAGTGGATTAGATTTTTTTTACCTTACAGTGTAAGAGAACCTTTGATCCCAAGACTTAAATTATTTCTGTCCTGTTTTTCTGAATAAAGATTGTTTTTTGAGAGGCGATCTTAACGTTTGCGGCAGGGGGAGCAGAAAACTCAGTTTTAAAAGTGTTTATTTCAATGTGCCTGCTGTTGGGGGAGGATGCGAATTTGGAGGATGTGGGTTCGTGGCGGGGGGCATCAGGGAAACGATGCAATTCCTGCAGATCGTAATGAATGAAGCTTATTCATTGTGCTAGAACAATATCATGTGACTCTGCAACTCACAAGGATAATCTTTTGCACATGTACATTGTGCATCTCTGCATGTGAAATATGTTAGAGCAAGGTTATCGCTTTATAGTTCCGTACAAAAGTAATAATGTGGGCTCACGGCGGGCTGGAAATTGTCCTTTGTGGGAAGTGTGAGAGAGTTGTTTTCAGCAGCTTGTTTTCGTAGCTGGATTTCTGAATGCTTCCTAATAACTGCACCGAGCACTGTGGTGTAGTATTAGATAGGTGGCACAACGTTGTGCACTGTTTAGATACTGAGCATGCAGATGATGTATATTTTTGACCTTCTCTGAGAATGGAAGAATAATACTGAACTCTAAAAGGTCACTCTGTCTTCCTCCTGATGAGTTGGGTACCAGAGTGCTAGAAAACAAACAAAAAAATCAGTTTGTCAAAATATTAGAGCAGCCTTGTTCAGGAAAACACAGTTTGAAGTTATTTACTTGTACCGGAGCCAGCTTAGCTTGTAGTTGTATTGCCGTACCAACAGGACAGATTTGAAACTTGTTTAAATTTTAACTTGGCATTTTGCGCATGGAGCTAATTTAGCTCTTCAGTGTAGGAGTGGGTGGAATATCCTTCTGAAGAGCATAATTACTGTAGGACCAAGTACTCAGCTGGAGAGAACTGTGAGCTGTGTTACAACAGCAGTTAGCAATGTACCGACATGAGTAGTTGCTTCAGGACAACGCAATGAAAGAATTCTGAGCTTTTCTGGCACGATTCAATGTGTACGCTGCATTTTCCCATCCCAAATCATGAAGGCTATGCTGTGTGAAAGGCACAGTGGTGTACATGCTTGGGGAAAAAGGAAGAAGGTTTTGGGTGCAGCGTAGTCTCTGTGTCATTTTCCTTTTTCAGTCTAGGCCTGATCTCCTTCGTCCAGATCAGGACTTTTCTGCCCTGTTGTCTTAGTGTCGGGGGACTGACAGCTGGTGGACACGCCACAGCAGTCACTCATACTTGGTGTGATGGATCTTCCTTGCTGTTATCTGTAGCACAGAACTTTTAACAGTTCATTCACCTTTTTTAGCACTGTCCTTTGATACCACGGTAAGAGAAGATGCATCTGTCCCTGCTGAATAGTACCAGTGTTCATTCAGCTGCTTCAGAAATGTCACCTTTCTAGCGATAGGATGATCACCCTGTCAGCTGTTTTGTCTCAGTGCAGTACCCGGCTGCTGGAGAAAATACCGAAGACATCTCCCTGTGTGCTCAGAATCCTGTTACCAGCTTTGGCTGGTGCTATTTGCCTCCAAGGAAGGGATCTTCTCTCCTTTTGTAGTAGTAGTATTTGCCGTTGATTTGAGAGTGGTTGGTATCTATTTTCTTGCTTCTACAAAAGAGACGGAATATAACATAGATGCTCTGGGACGTATTGCGTATCTGTAGCAGCACAAGTATGCAGGCTGTCTGGTGGTCAATCTACCGAGAACACACTGACAATTATTACTTTCCTTTTTTGGGCTCTTCTGTCTAATGCTTTCAGGTGTTTTCCAAAAATGGTGTGATTTAGCAGCCTAAACATTGTTGAAACACCATAAGGAAACTGGGACAAGAGAAATTGAAGCCTATTCTCTGCCCGTACGCTACTGTTCTGCTGCTGCAGAGCTGGAGATATCAGAAACTGCCGGTTGAGAAAGCCTCTCTTTTGCTTTGATTGAAAAAAATATGATTTTGCATATCATGCTCCTCCGTCCAAAAGCTGTGTGACATATCCTTCCTTATAAAGAGGAATGACGTGCAGATGCGGGATTTGAGCAGGGAGATGGAGTAATTCTGCAGGACGCAGCTAGGTCTGGTGGCCAGCAACAACGTGAGCGATTTCGCTGAAAAGCTGCACTGAAATTGTTTGCTATGCCATGCTTCTCCGGGAGTACTGCTGGAGCACCTGGAGATACAAAATCACAGTGCGGCTCAGCTTACAGCTGCAGAGCTGTGAAATGTAAGTGAATTAATGGCAAAAATTACTGGTAGTCTTAGGCACACAAGTGAGCAGGAGAAAGACAGTGAAATTTGGCAGTCTTAGCATCCAATTTACTCCACTACATCCTCATGGAAAAGGTGTAGAGGGTTCAACTCCACGTCAGTCTGTGCATGTCTAAGCCAGCTGTGCTGTGGTGCTGTTTCTTGCTCTTCGGCAGCCCTCTTTCCTTGCACCGGCAGTGTTGCTCATTTTCCCGGCAGTAATCTAATTTGATGGAGTTAACTTGGCCAAGTATTTTCTGCTGGCTGCATTTTCTGCTTGCTCAGGTTCTTGAACTGTGTCGGTGTTGGCACCGGAGTGAGCGAGAGGGAATGCATCGTGAAGAAGGCAAGTGATGGGTTTGTCTTGGCAACTGCAGCTTTCATCAGCGTAAGCTGCTGTGTGGAGCAGTACCTCAAGGTACCTGCTCCTGCAAAAACAAGGTGGTTTTTGCTCGTACCCTGGGTGGCTCAGCACAGGTCTGACAGCTGTGCAAAACACTTACTAAAATGGCTTGTGATGTTAAGAGCAGGAGCTTAGGAATGATGTCCAGTCGTGAGCTCTGAATCTCTCTGCAGCTGTGATGCTGTCTGACTCTTCAGTTAAGTAAGCGTGTCTTGGAATAGGTAACCAAATCTCTTTTTGCTGAACCTTTGCATTTGAAGGATGAAGGAACTATCTGTGACACAGTTAATACTTGTGAAGTAAAATAAGATTCCTGGATGAGAGATGTTAGTGTTAATATGCCATAAATAGTGGTTGAAATGCCAGAGCAATATATGAAATTGCTGTTGCATTTGGGAAGTTCACCAGGTAATACTTTGAACCTAAAGTAGCGTTATTTTTCAGAAAGTCTCCTTACAGAAATTTAATGGTTTCGTGGTTGTCCTCAAAATAACATGCCTGACAGTCTTTCTAGTTCCTTTTAAATGGACTTAAATGTGTGGAACTGATGCTCTTGGACTCCTGACTGGTTTGCCTCATTTAGAGACTGCTTGTCTCTCATTGAGCTGAGAGGACGATGGTCATGAAAGTGATTTGTCTGCAGCTTTTGAAAAACATGATTTCAGTCAGTCTTGGGTGCATAAAGGAGGGGGAGAGAGTGTTCTACTCTCCAGGATGCTGATATTTAAGAATGGAATTTAGATAATTTGAGTAGGTCATGTGGCACTCTTTCTTTCCCCTTGTTTCTTATTTGAAGCGAACTCAGAGCATGCATTAGGAAATCCAGCCCAGTGAGTGGTACGCAACTCTTTTTTTGTCTGCAAATACGTACTACCAAGAGCACGAGAATTTCTGTGACAGTTTAAGGTCCAGGAAGAGTGTCATCTTTGTGAATCTAGGAAGGGACGAGAATATTTTGCAGGAAGGTATGTCTTTAAATTTTGGTCTTCCTAAGAAGGTGCGTACTGTCCCGCCTTTCTGTTAAAATGTTTTATAGATTTGCTCCAATTTACCTAATAATTCAAGTCGTCTTAAATTTTGAAACAAAGTAATGTGGTACCTTTCTTAAGCTCTAAAGAAGGCGCACATGGAATTTGGGATGGTGGAAATCGCCTTGATAAAGGTGAAAAAGTGTCTCAGCAAGTACAAAGAGATTTCATAGCATGGGGATGTGTTATGCAGCTAGAAAGGCAAAGAATGAGATAGCAGTGGCGTGCTGTCCTTTTAAAAACAAAGAATATGAAGTAGAAATGCACAAAATTGATCTGTTTTCTCTTTAACGGGATGATTCTCGCTGAAGTGAAGTGTGTTTAAAACTAACTGAATTGCTTCGGTAACAGGTACCTGGAAGAGGTCCAGAGCTGAGCTGGCCATGAGCAGCGGATTATTGTCTTTCCCGGGAATGGTCCTTGTTAACTTGAACCGCGCTATATCAGCACGGTGACACAGCAGAAGTTTGTGCAGATACCACTGCGTTAACAGCTTTTGTTTCGAGAGTAATTTTTATCCTGGAGCTGTTGATCCAATGTATTTCATAAACACTAACGTTTACTGTAAAGTTCAAAGAGATAAAGCCCTGCATAAAAATGAATTGTTTGAACAGCGTACAGTCACTTGTGCAGTTATTGCAGAAGAGGTCACTGAGCTTATGGTCTGGGAGATTTTAAAAAAGATTAGCTCATTTGATGAAATGTTTGCAGGTATGTGAGCAAGAAAAAAACCTTATCCTCTTCTGTCCATGCTGTAGAGCATCGAGCTGCTCTGTACTTGAAAGGATCTTCATTTCAGGTGGATTTTCCTTTTAATAGTTGAGAATAGTTAAAAATTATAGTTTTAAAGGGTTTTTGGAGTTTATGCCTAAATACTTAAGTAGCTCAATCCAGGCGAGTTAAAAGCACGTACTTAGACGGTCTTCTGAAGGCATAAAAAGGTGCACAAATTCTTGTGAAGAGCCCCATCAGTAAATAATTTCAAAAAACTGTTTAGCGTAGTTGTGAAAATCGAAGTCAGCTCTGCGAGGTGTTAGGCTGAGAGAAAGCCTGCACTGAGGAAAAGGTTGGGAATACAGCATGGGGGAATGACATGTTCCCTACTCCGATATTTGGCAGTTGGAACAAAACCTGTGCCTTTTGAATCCTGGGCTGCTGTCAAATGCTTTCTAATTTATACAATTTGAGAGCACAGCATTTTTGTTTGCAGTCTTTGCTCCAGTGATGTCACTTGGAAGCCTTTCTTCTGCAAGCCGCAGGTTTGCTGAGAAGGGCTAAGAAGGTGGTGAAGTGGCGGTGAAGTCTGTTTCAAATTGCCAACAGGAATATGGGTATTCTGAATAAACCGTGCAAAATTTCTAGTCTGTAAATTGCTTGTTAGCCTTCATCTTCTTGCAACTGTTAATGGGATAATATAGCAGAAATGGAAACTTGGCTGCAGATATGCGCAGTATCTTTCATTTTAACCGTTTCCCTAGATTCTTGAACAGTTTTAAGTCTGATGTGCTTTTCTTTTGGCTACTATCGATGTCCGCCTGTCAGCTAGAATTAGGAGGGACTACAAGTAGTTCATCAGCATTTGTAGAGATGTTTTATAGGACTATAAAACCACGTCTCTCTTGATGTGCTGAGCTTATTCACACTTAGTCCCTGTGTGACTAGCTTTAAAGGCGGTGAGTCGTACTCTTACTAGCATCATAAAAATACTGTGAACGGGAAAAGGCCAAACGCTCATCATGTCCTCACTGCAAGACGTCTAATCTGACAGCAGTGCAAGAGGGATTCATGCAGGCAAAATCCTGCTAATGTTAGAGAGTAGCTGATATCCGAGGGAAATGTTTGGAAACTGTTTTGCTTAAAAGCCTTTCTGCTCCTGTGCTGTGTACTTGTTGTGTTTACCATGTGTGACATTTACAAAACTGTAAGGTAGAATCTTTTTTTGTCCTGAAGTTTACCAGCTCTTGCTATTTCTTTCCTGATACAAAATCTCAACTTTGTTCTGGGGGGCCTGCATGCTTTTTTCGGTAATTATTAGTGATGTAGGAAACTACAGAATTGCATTAGCGAAAATTCTTTCTAAAATTTCTCTCCATTATCTTATTTTCCTTGTTTTTTGCTCAGATAGGCGTGTTTGCAGGTGAGCCCCTAGCAATCAACTCCTCAGACTGAGGCCACGTGTGTCAAGAAGCTCAGCACTGCTCAGATAGAAACTGCCAAGGTTTTATGTGTTATGTTCAGAAGGGGCTGCAAGGGTATTAATTTCTTCTTTTCTTTCTCATTCATTCTGCAAGCCATGCTACCTACCTGCCTCTTACTGCTCTCCGTTGACACACATGCATCCCTTTACACGTCTCGCCCCACCTTTGTTCCTTCTTTCCCTTTCTTCATCAACGCCACGTGCTCAGCCTTGCTCCAGGGCCTGAGCAAGAAGAGAAGGCGCAGCATTTATGGACGTGCGTTATGCGAGGACCTAACACTGGGTGGGACAACAGCAGCTCCTTATCACTCGCAAAGGCAGCTGCGAGTCTGCGCACATACCCTTGGAAGCTGTTGCTGCTGCAGCTCTGGACACATAGGCACCACTTTGAAATGTGTTGTGTATCAATAGTAGTATACATAAAACATTTTAGGAACATCTACTTCACAGCATGCTTCTCATCATCAAAGTGACTTAGTCATCTGATCTCACCAGGGTGATGCCATTCTATATTTTACACATGGGGGAGCTAATGTTTGAATGAGTGAAACAAACGGAAAGGTTTGGAAGTATTTCTATTATTTCTGGTGTGCCTGGTTTGATACTGTGGAAGGAGTATATTGTGTGAGGTTTTTGTTGTTTTTAGTAAGAGTTTCTAAGATTTTCTTTTTCCCTTTCTCTTGACATTATGGATGTGCTGCGCCGCTGAGAATCAGGACATGAATATGCAAAGCACCCAACAAAAATTGGAGATGACTGTTTTGCTGATGATCTGAAAGCTTTGATATTTTGTTCATTTTGTACTTTTCTTTTGTTTTAATGGTTGCGCTGACCAGCTACCTTTTGAAGTCTGTTTTTCTTTTTTTTTGATAGGACGAGAGGAAATGGGCTCAAGTTGCATCCGGGAAGGTTTAGATTGGATATTAGGAGAAATTTCTTCACGGAAACAGTGGTCAAACATTGCAACAAGGTGCCCAGAGAGGTGGTGGAGTCACCATCCCTGGAAGCGTTCAAAAAATGTGTAGACGTGGCACTCTGGGACATGGTTTAGTAGATGTGGTGGTGTTGGGTTGACGGTTGGGCTGATGATCTTAGAGGTCCTTTCCAACCTTAGTGATTCTATTCTAGTTTTACTTTCATTAAAAACTAATCCAGCCACAAAGCCAGGAAACATGAAAATAATTCTTACTCTCCCCTTAATTGGTTCAGTGGTGGACTTGGTAGTGTTAGGTTAATGGTTGGACTGGATGATCTTAAAGGTCTTTCCTAACCTAAATGATTGTATGATTCTATTTAGGAAGTCTGCAAATAACTCTGATTTTTGAGTAATATGTCATTGGGTTATGCATAAGTGTTTCAATGGATAGTGCGAACTCTGGTTATAGATGACGAAGACTTGAGTCTGAAGTGGTTGGACTGTGATGCTTGAGGGTATGTACATGACTGGCAGGAGATAGTGAGAAAGTATTTAAGCATAGAATCAGCCTTAATATTTTTTCTTAATTACTTAGTTTGCATTTGTTCTTTGGCTTAAACAATTTCAGCTGTACAAACCTTTCGCCAAGTTTTAGCCAAAGCATTCAGCTGTAAGAGAACACAGGCTCTGCTTCTATATATATTGTGCAAATGTGTACGTACAAACCACCAGCAAGTGGCTGATGATTCACCGGTGATCTCTGGACTGAGAGAGGCTGAAGAGCTTGAAGCCTGCGTGCTTTGCAGGAAATTACAAACTCCCAAAGTACGTTGAGAACAAACCAACCCCCTCCGCCCCCAAATCCTTCTGTTAC